GAGAAGACCTTTTTTGTCTCCCCCAGGTTCTGGTAGCCCCAGCAATCTCTGCCTCTTTCATAACATGGCTGTCTTCCCTCTGTGTCACTTTGTCTCTGTGTCTCTTCTCCTCATTTATGAGGACACCAGTCATATTAGATTAGGACCTACTCCAGTATGACCTCATGTTAACTCAACTGATAAGATCTTCAAAGACTTAATTTCCAAACAGAATCACATGCACAGGTACTAGGGGTTAGGACTTTAGCATATCTTTTTAGGGGACATAATTTAGCCCGTAACACCATCCATGTTATGTGTAGCTGTAGCTCATTTGCTCTCATTGCTGTATAATACTTCACTGTGTGAACATACCACAATTTAACTAGCCATTATCCTGTTGATGGACATTCAGTCCTTTCCATATATGTTGGTGGTTTCCGCTCCTTTCACCATTATGGGTAATGCTGTTGCTCTGTTGTGGACATGCTTGTATGTGTTTCTGGTTCATATCTGTAGGAATCTCTGGGAGTGGAATGCCTGCACCTTAGATTATATGATTTCAATGCCATAATATATTGTTTTCCAAAGGGGGTCACACCGAATTAAACCCTGCCAACAACGTGTAAGAGTTCCTAATGATCCACATCTTTGCCAACACTTGGTATTATCAGACTTCTTAATTTTTGCCCATCCAGAAGGTATAAGAGCCATTGGTGGTTCAGAGGTAGAATGCTTGCCTTCCATGCAGGAGACCCAGGTTTGATTCCCAGCTAATGCACTTCATGAGCAGCCACCATCCATCTGTCAGTAATGGCTTGCATGTTGCTATGATGCTGAACAGGTTTCAGCGGAGCTTCCAGACTAGACAGACTAGGAAGAAGGGTCTGGAAATCTACTTCCGAAAATAAGTCAATGAAAACCCTATGGATCACAATGGAACACTGTCCTATCTGCAACTGATCACAGGGATGGCACGGGACCAAGCAGCGTTTTGTTCCATTGGGCCTAGGGTCACCAGGAATTGGGGGCCAACTTAAAGGCAGCCAACAACAACAACAACAACGGAGGGTATAAAAAGGTATCTCACTGTGGTTTTATCTGTATTTCCTAAAACTAGTACTAACCCTTGACTGTTCAATTGTTTGAGCAAAAAATCCTCCTTGTCCCTTATAGCCCGTTGAGTTGGGTTTCCGTCACTGGCAAATTTAGAGGGCCCATGTGCCAGTATTAGGAGCTTCAACATACCTTAAAGTCAAACTGTATGTCCATGTATTTTCCAAATCTGCTGGAGTTGTCATTCCGAAGTGTTTTGGCATTTCCAAAAGCCTTGAAATACAAAATAGGGGGA